AGCAGAAAGCGCGGTCGTTGTTAAACCGGGCCCCGACCGATCCGGCATGGCGTTTACTGATATTGTTTTCATCATAGCATTACACTGGGTTTGATAGGTCTTGACGGCACCCATCTCCTCTCCAAGACCGATTTTTCCTCAGGGTTGTCTCCCGAAGATGGACTGTCTTTCAAGACTCATGAGCTCTATCTGCCCAGTATTGGGTTTGATAGGTCTTGGTGGTACCCATCTCCTCTCCAAGACCGATTTTTCCTCAGGGTTGTCTCCCGAAGATGGACTGTCTTTCTGGACTTATGAGCTCCATCTGCCCAGTATTGAGTTTGATAGGTCTTGGTGGTACCCATCTCCTCTCCAAGACCGATTTTTCCTCAGGGTTGTCTCCCGAAGATGGACTGTCTTTCTGGACTTATGAGCTCCATCTGCCCAGTATTGAGTTTGATAGGTCTTGGTGGCACCCATCTCCTCTCCAAGACCGATTTTTCCTCAGGGTTGTCTCCCGAAGATGGACTGTCTTTCTGGACTTATGAGCTCCATCTACCCAGTATTGTGTTTGATAGTTCCTGATGGGAACTATCTCCTCTCCTAGAGCGATGTTCCCTAAGGGTTGTCTCCCTAAGGTGGACTTATATTACTTACCTTATCTTACTTACCTTACCATGTCTCCGCAACCGTAAGCCCTACAGAGACGAGACTAGTACCAATAGATTTCTCTCGTCGAGCAGAATCCAATGGTATATAAGGGGTCAACGCTCTTCCTAAGGAAAATACCGGGGTTTCCCTGCGTAGCCGTTCCCGCCTCTCTGGTGTCCCTGAGGTTGATGCTGCCTATTACAGACCTATGCCATAGCATACAACCTAATGTTGCGGAGCTAAAAGTGTCAGGAGCTACGCCTGTAGCATGACCTACAGGCCAAGAGACAGAGTATCCTCCCTAGTCTTTGAAAATCCCTAGTCGGCCGAGGAGAAGCCATGTGTCCTTGAGACTGGTGGTAGTGGATAGATCTCATCGAGGGCTATCCATTGGTATATAGCTTATCTAGGTCCTGGCCTCCCTAAGGAAAATTGCAAGTCTCGGCCCTAAGTGCCCCAGCATAGTAAGCATGAAGCTAGCTAAGTCCGAAATCTGGCCTAAACATGAATAAAAATAATAAGATATAATGTAAAAGGATAGAAGACTTACCAAATTCTTCTTTGTGTTTGGTTTGCAAGCCCCCATAGTCCTGCAAGCGTTGCAGTGTGGCCGTAGTCAGCCATGCGTCCGTCCCGTGCCATGCTCCAAAATTCACAATAGCGAAATGCTAATACAATACCCTTTTTCAGTAATTTAAATAGTTGATCCATAATGAAGCAGTTAGAATTGGTCCGTGTATATGTTAAATTGTAATTCCCTCAATAAGACCATAACTATGGTTGAGTGGCAACCCAGGCTCCGTTTCATTTCCTGATGGTGACTATAGGCAGTCGAGAAAACAACCCAGATTCAGGTACGTGCTATGCACACGCCTGAACAAAAGCCACTTCAGGGAGAGAAGAATATCCTGAGAAACTGTACGGTGAAAGAAAACACCAGTGACGACAATATATTATTAAAAATATTTTTGAAATTAAACCGCCTATCTTCTGCTGGTTGAAATTTCCATTGTTCATAACTATTTTGTGGTCTCGCATTGTTGAACTGAGAAAATGGACGGATGGAAGAAAAATGTCGGGTGCTGAAACCAGCCCACTACAGTCCTCGATCCTTGAAAATTGACATCGAAAGCATACAAAAGACTCGAGTAGGCCCACGTTCTTCTCATTTGGTGCATTTTCTTCTTTGATTATCCTGGCCGACAGAAGACTGAAGGATATTGTCTTCTGACAATAGGTATTCTTGATATTGTACTCGACAGAGAAGTACGTTGAACATAGGACTGGAATGTTCTGATTACATGGTTTGTTTGTGGTAACTGGATGTTCACATGGTTGCCATCCAAAAGTAACAGGTGTTCGGTAGGTATCACCTCAGTCGGCAGATAAGTAACCTCAGATTTATATTGAAACATGCACGTGGTGAGAGATGGCTTCCTAATAGAGATCGCAGTGATCAAAATCATCACGGAAGCTGATCACATTACAACAATGGCGGAGGTGTGATCGTGTATCGAAATGGAAATTTAGGCTGGGTTTTATTTGCCTTATAGATGGTCAGTATTCACAGAATTTGAATTCAGGATGTAGTATCATCTAGCTAGTCTTTAGTCGAAGATGACATTTTTCCCCAATACTTCTTGTAGATCGCCTATTAGCAGACCTGAGATTAAACCCTTTTTGATAGGATGTTCGAGCCAAATATTTACCAAACTGCAAATAAGCCGACGATCTAAAGGACAGGAAAATTAAGTACATATTCATGCTGGGCGAAAGTCTAAGGCAGGTTACTCTAACTTGGCTGTTTACAGTGGAGAATGAATTTGTAGAACCTGGCGGTTGCAGTGTTTCCTAACACTGGACAAGTGATACTGTTAGGGAGTACTGGTAGAGAGATATGAAGCGAAAAGAATGAATGAAGTAAACTCTTGTGGGCAATATGTTAGGCCAGTTGAAAGCCACAATTGTTTTTATGGAAAATTTAATTGTCGCATTTGGCTGATATTGCTCAGGATGCTGGTGGTGTGTCTGACGAGTAACATAACGTAAAAATTAAACAGTAATTATATCTGAACATTCGCATACTCGTTAAAGAGAATGTTAAAACTATGGATTGGACTTTGCACAACATCGAAATAAGCCTGGAGCTAAAATATGCGGACAAAATTGGTTCGGTGTAACTGTTCCCCTGGTTTCAGAGTGGAACATAAGGCCACAGGATCAAATCTACATTTAAGTCTCTCCTCAGCAATCTTTTTTATTCCAACTTCGCGGTTACCCATAAGCCTTTATTTCCTATCCACGTCATGCACAGACGCCCCCAGCTTGTCATTTTCACTTCGGGTTTCACTCGAGGGTTTGGTATGAGATATCCCTCAGTGGTCTCCTTGGCGTTTACACAATCCATTTCTTTACCCTTCTGCAAATTTTTTTGTTGGCTTGTAGTCTTTCTGCCCATCAGTATAAAACATAAGCGGATGTTGACGGAAGTCCGCAGCAGACAGTTAGAAATGCTTTTGGTGACCTACAAGCTTAATCTCTGACCCTTATATGTAGGCAGTGACTTGAATTACAGTTGAAGACACCGAACTTTTTCCTTGCACTGAATGTAGTAGATTTCCTTACTGATTCCAGATTAATAAAGTTCCATCCTGCTTTCAAATCCTGCCTTCAACATTCTCGTCTGTGCCTTATGTTGTTAAAACGGTGATGCCTAAATAAGCGAAAGGTGTGCGCCCTTTCAAATTTCTCCTGCTCATAGGGACTGGTGCTTGCCGTTTTCTTCGTTGTTGGTTAGGTATGTTCACTTTAACTCCTACCTTCAATTCAAAGCAGTGAAAACATGAGTAAGACAAGGCTGTCTACTATCATCGGTGATATTTCTCATCGTAGTGGACTAGTCTGTCCGTCTGTCTATGGGGAGCAAAAAGATAGGAACACGTTGGACTGATAAGAAGATGTAAGAAGACATGGACTTTGAGGATGATTTATGTCCAATGTCACATGAATCTGAGGACATTCTGGAGAAGACCAACAAGTCAAAAGAGGCACGAGGATAAGACAGGAGTGAACATCGATGACTCAGGGATGATGGAGATAGCCACCCAGAAAAAGCTACGAGTACCAGTCACTATTTACAGAAGAAATTTGAATGAGGTCACTTCCTTCACTTATGTAGATAGCATCGTTTCAACTGCAGGCGGTCAGCACGGACGAGGATGCCAAAACCAGAATAAAAAAGGCAAGACAAACATACATCACTTTGAAATCACTCTGGAGACGTTCAGCAACTAACCTTAACAACAAAATGTCGGCTTCCAACACCAGTGTCAAGTCAGTCCTATTCGGACATGAAACTTTACGCGTCACGAAAAGCATCAGATGGTCATAAGTGACTAGCAACAAGGAACTCCGGAAACTAAATAATCAACACGTATGCAGAATACAATAAAGACAGATCAGGTACTTACTGAGGAGACCATTGAGCATTATCACGCACTAGGCTCCCTAGTGGAACCGGGATGGGAGACGACGGGTCCGGCGTCAAAGGGTAACACGGAGGAGAATGCATGAGGAGATGAAAGCTTATGTAAAATTTTGAGACCAGCTGAAGAGGACTGCAGAGAGAAAGGCCAAATAAAGATTAGCTGTTGAAGCCATGCGTTCCTAGGGCCATGCTCCAATGAAGCCCCAGGAACTCACGGGAATAATAATAATACGATAAGTACCTTTAAACAACTTGGGCATTCAGAGTCTGTTTTGGTTAATGTCGATGTTTTCGATGAATTCGGTGGCATTCTGATGAGGAAAATACTAATTTCTCCTTGATTTTTATCTAACTCCAACATACTTCCTAATAAAAACTCAATCTGAAAACTTCAGTGCGTCGGTGGCACAGTGGTTAGGACTCTCGCCGACCATGCACATGGTACAGGTTTCGACCCCCTGCCGGCGCACACCTGATATCTATGGTCGGCCTGCAAAATTTGGGCTACATGCTGAAAATTCCATACCTGTACCTAAAAATACGGTGTGGCATCAAGCTGTAATCAAAATAATAACAATAAATAATAATCCTAGGGTTCATCGTTAAACTTATGAGCACATATAAAAGTGGGTCGCCAACTTATCACTGAAAACCAACTGAACCAGAGGAAAACAGTTGTAGTTTTAAAAACCTCATACTGCCATGTATACACTCACTGTACGCATTTCTTGAAAACATTCCAGTATTGTTGATAGGGAATTCATCAGCGGCATCAGTAAAAAGCTCATTTATTTACGCGCAAAATTCAAGTTTCGCGGTGGTTGGTGGCTATGAAGTCAATTGACAGCTTGTCGGAATACGGGAAGTCTTATACATACTTAGACAGTGCTAGAGATGAGTATTATGATCGTCTGAAGTTCAGAATCGAGAAGCGAAACTCTGAATACTCACACCAACCTTTTTTGTGGGAGGACTTGGAAAATCTCCGTCTACGGGATCCTGAGGTGTCACATCTTGGGAATATTTCATGCGATGCAAGTGAAAACAGTAAAGACGATGAAATTGCGGTAGATGGGTAATGTCACATTTGCGTTTATGGTTATATTTACTTCACCAGCCCTGTCAATCATCCTGATGACGCAGTGACAGACGAAGGTTTGAATGAGTTTGCTGACATCACAACTTCGTTGTCTAGGTGATGGACAGGAAGTGGATGAAGGCAGTATTAACCAAAATAAGAAAGAAGTTGGCATTCAAACTCAGAGGCTGTGTCTCCAGAAGACGATTGAGCAACCCAAAGCTTTCGTACCTTATGCTATTGGTGGTTCACCCGGTCCGACGTCTGGTGTAAAGAGGACATTTAACGTTAAGTCCGAAAGAGACGTAAGCGGTTGTTTAAGTTTATTTAAGTGAATTTTTTAGTGAGTATAGTTTAAATTAGCATTATAACTAGGTTGTTATTTCCTCAGTATGCAGGTACAAGAGTGGTGGGTTTGTATTACATTCCAGTCATCGTACATGTAATGTAGAAGTGGCTTGAAGCTGTTAAGCAGTGCAATCATTAGTCTCAAAGTAACTTGACTGCATGCCCTCATATCTTTCTGCTGCAAAGTATTAGAACAGTAGTTCATCCCTAATGCTAGTTCTCACCCTCATTTTTGTTTGCCACTGGTCTTTTATACTTACTCATCACTAAAACAACTGCACTGGTAAATCCGTTGCTGTTCGTCTGAAAAGTGCTGGTTTTTTTTCTGTAAGGGAGTTCACAGTATATTGACTACCTGCCGATCCTTCGATTAATATATTGTAGTTTCTGATTGCATGCATTGATAAGAGGCCAGTATTCCGGTACAGCTTTACATTCCCATTACTTCCCCTGGTGTCTGATGGTTTTTGTCTACATAGTGAGGACTATTAAAGCTAGTTAGGTATTGGAAGATTGTACTTAATGAATATACTGCTAAGGGCACATTCCTTAGGACTATCTGTGAATCCTTGAATATACCATACAAGAAACGTTTTTTTTTACAAATAAGACTTAGTGTTTCTAGGTTTGAACTGTAAATTTCGCCTTGTTAGATATTCTGTAATGACATTAAATGACCTCCTGAAAAATCAATTACTTTTATCTTTTAGAGATTTAGAATACGTAGCAAGAATTTTTCTTTTCACCACCCAGTTTTAGATAGTTAAGGTACAGATAAACAAACTAAAGCAGAATTGTGGAAGTACATCGCTGCCAGTTATTGTGCTTCACAACAGTGGATAAAGCTAGAAAAGTGAGGAAAATCATTAAATAAAATTAGTGATTATCATCAGAATTTCCAAAATAATAGAGTACTAGTGTACTGCGTCAATGAAAATTATGCTGGGACATGTAACCATTGTCCTCGAACGTTAAGTTTTAGTATTATGAGGATCCTATACAAACAGCATAAATATATCTAGTTTGCTTAGGTAAATGGATACAGAATTTGTGAATTGCTTCCATGATCTGGTGTGAGCTTTACAACCTTATCTCGTTATAATCTTTCAGCTTTCCTGGGAATGACATGGTTCGTTAGGTAAGTTATCTGGAGTAGTATACCGTCGCTATTCTGTGCAAAGTGTTTTCAAATTGTCTAAAGGATAAATAAGTAGAACCTTTAAAGAATTTTGTGGTTGCTAACCATATTATTGCAGGTGAGAACTGGGATTGCACTCGGCAATGCACTATTACATCCAGCATTAATTCATTGTAATTGTTGTAAATCGATATTGACACTAAATATTGAAAGCAATTTAACAGGAAGTTGCGCAGAAAACTTCTGCATTCCTCCGCGAATAGACTGCTTAACTGACAGCCATAGTACTCACTTTTTTTTCCTTCACGTTCTCCAGTGGAACGTATGGCTTCAAGCTAGTGCCTTGAAGTTTCTGTAGCAGTGTAGTACTCACTAGCCCTGTAATAAATGTGTGTAAGTAGTTTTGGTACGATGTCCCGTAACAATATTACTGACGTAAATTGATTCCGGGTTCTAAATTTGCACTTACTAGATAGTTGTATTTAACTTTCACTTGCTTCCACTCTATTCCATTATTTTTATAGGTTTATCCCTCTGCCGTTCGAGCTGGAATTCGTCGAAGAGAAAGGCTGATGGGTTTGGATCAGATTAATTCATCAAACTCCAAAAGGTCTTCTGAAGTTATTGCACCAAAATCACGTCTTTCGAAAAATAAAACCAGCCCTCTGTGCAAAACTGACAAGAAATATGTGCGTGTTCCGCAAAAATCAGCTATAGGGACTGTCAATACATCCCGATTATCTGGTTCGGCTGCTTCGTATTCTGATCTGAGTAATAACGGTCCGCAACGTGAGAATACATGGACTTCTGAGTACATTCAAAGATATCCATTATATCCATCCTCAGTGTATGTCCGTAGTGCATCTGTCGCTGCAGGTCGTTGTCGTCCACTTTCTTTTTCACACAAACGACCATCATCTTCCTTCCCAGAAAGTTTGGTTCCATCTACACCAGTACTGTTAAGTTGTCGTGGTTCGAACCCTGCTCCTAGAAGTAGTCGGGCAACTCGCTGTGATATTTGCTCATTTGTAGATCCCAGTGGGAAATGTGCACGTCCGTTGCTTCGCGCACATTAAAAATTAATAAGTCATATCTCTGCCATGTTTACAGCAACGATTTTTATCTAAAGTATATACTATGTTTCTTTCACCCATTCCAGTTTGCTTTTATGGACACATCATTTTTTCCTCATCCACGAAATAATTTTAGTTTTTTCAACTATGCACCAGACAATCTAAGCTGTTATGTCAATAATAACACAGATTCAACTTTGATATATATAGAACAAATATATTGTATATTTGGCATGTTATTTACTTCTGTTTTCTATGTCCTGCATGTTTGTGTACGATAATAATTGTTTAGCATTTTGCAGCCTTAGTTCATATTTTCAGAAGTGTTTGTAGCCCTTTTTCAGTATGTGTTACGGTAGACTAATTCATATATATATATATATATATATATATATATATATATAAATCAAGTAGACAACCATATGCAACCCACATTCTGCTGTCTTTATTTCCTATGTCAAAGTGCAATTTTTGCTTCTAATCAAGTTTTGTTTTCTTTAACCCAAATCACACTTTATTTTCACAGTTCTCCACACTGAAGACCCCAATACTAACATTTTTTCCCTGAAATCCAGCATAAAACCCTTAGAGTGGTTGGCACGATCACCTAGTTAAAAATTTGTAAACAAAATCGTTCATTTTTATCACTAGAGCTAATTTTATATATGGATAAGCTTATGGATGTATTGCCATGGCTTATTTATTTATTTATTATTATTATTATTATTCAACATGTCCACCGTTGATGAGGTATCTTCAAAGTGAGTTTTACGCCAATCACTAGAAACTATCCAATTCACTCCTATGTATATCAACTGTATTCGCCATGTCAGCTTTTAAGCTGCTTCATTGATGCGCGTGAGCTGTTTCCGAACAGATTTTTGGACAGTTACGGTATTTATATCCTGTTCAACTACACTTTTACTTTAATTTCTTCATGCTAACTTCTACCTGACTGGTATTTGCAAAATATGTTGTGCAAGGTAGTACGCTTGTAGAACATAGTATTGTGAACTATCCGAGTTACAATGTACATTTCTTAATTCAAGTATTATTTAGCGCTCATTAAGCCTGTCCCCATATTAGACAGGGTCGTAATGTGAGTCGTGTTCAGTTTTTTCAGGATTAAGTTTCGTTTTTCTCGTATGTTACGTACTGCAACATCTATAGGGCGTCATAGATTTCAAGTTTCTTGTTATTCAAAAATTGGTGACTGATTTATTTCAAAGGGATTCGGATTTTCCACTCAGATACGATTATCAGTGTTTTCATCTCAAGTTAACCAGGTTTTCTTTTCTTGAAAGATGCAGACTTGAACAATGATTTCAAGGAAGCGATCATATACATCACGTTCTCGTTCCAAGTCATCTGGATTCGGTTCCCCAAGACGAAAAAATAGATCCAGGTCAGTAATATTTCTTATCAGTAATTGTTTAAAATTGCCACGACGATTATTCTCTCTGGTAGTTGCCGATTTTGTAGACTGTCTTCGTTAAATAACACGTTTGTAAATCTCAACCACTTGCAATTTCCAGCTAATTTTTCAAGAGGAAAGTGAATGCGTGACCACTCATCACTAGTCACCAGTCTTTAGGAGTAAACGATGGTATTTTGTATTAATTTTCCCAATGAAGTTTAGCCATCTAATATGCAACTATTCCATTACTTTCGCGACTTAAAAGGCATTTTTTTGGGGGGGGGGGAGTTGACTTTTTATACCTAAAACAAAATTTGTAATTAAGTTCGTTATTTGTAGGTACATAGTATTGATTGTTTTAAAAACATTCTAAATGACATTACACTTTTTTAGAAGTGCTTGTCGTAATGTTTCTGCTGTATTTTTGTTGACATCCTTATTTTGTTCATAAATGAAGAATGTTATCTCATACATTTTCTGTTTTTATGACTTCCTACAAAGTTGACAATTATTGCATAAAAATGGATTTCGATAGTCAACGTAAACCACTTAACTTTTTTCTAGTGTTACTCGTAGTTTATCGACAGTTGTCTCATTAAAACATCCAGGACTACAGAACTTTTTTTCCTCACTGCTGTGCTTCAAGTAAGAGTAGTTATGGGAACAAAAATGAGAAGTGTAGAAAGCTTGACTAACTTCTTTGTATCCACATGATTTCCCCTGGTTGCTAACGGTCAACTCCCAGGAGTAGTAGCTTTTGAATTTTTGTTTATCAGCGTGAACGACACAAAACCTGGCGTCGTTAAATCTTACTTGTATGGACGGAGTTGACAGTGCATTAGAAAAGTTAAGTTCAGGTGGATTTACAAAAATAGTGATAGTGATTGTGAATTATTTTTGAGAAGTTATTTGTTAAGTAGTGTAAATGCCTCATGTCGGCTGTTGAAGACATCGTCGATTCCCCCCACACCATGGACTAGACATGCAAAGGTTTTTCAACCTCCACTTTATCTCCTTTTAGTTTGTTGTCATAGGTTTGATTCTATTTTGTGATGCTTAACGGTGTACGCTTCAAGCCCATAACTAAGCTGTAGCAAGTCTTTTTCTTATCTGTTCGTAAAAAATGATTCAGTCTGTACTGCACTTAACTGCATAACAATGTAGTGTACATTAGTGATTAATTTCAAGATGGGCATTTTAAAGATTTTATAACGGCATACAATTTATACGGTCGAATACGTCGGTTTTGAAGATATAAACTCATTGACGACACTAGATAAGGCTTGCCCCCTATGTTACAGGTATAACGAAGTTTAAAAAAATTAGTTCATGGGATTTTAGTGAAGTTGTTGGAAAATAACGTGCTCATCCTGAAATATGACGTTCTTGAGCGCATTCCTGCATTTGTCGTGTTAATGGTTCTCATCAAGGCTTAAACAGCTGTTTGATCCCCGTTTGTTGTTAGTGGTTTCTTAGCTAGTGTTTACTTATGATGAAAATTATCTCTAAATCAACGGATTACCAAAAATTTTTTAGTGAAATGCTGTTTTACATTCATGATAATAAGATGTTACAAAAGTTAAGTAAAGAAGGTGGGAAAGACAAGTTGGAGAAACCTAGACGTGTGCAGACTAGAGTATGAATTTCAGTGTTACTCATTTTTTTACTGTCTGTATGGTAAATCATGATGTGAAGGGAAATCTTTGCTACTTCTAACTGTATATGACGTTCACAGGTAATAGTAGAATGTTTCTGAATTTATCCGAACTGTATAGATTGCCTAAATTCTTGTTACTTAATATACAATATCGTCATCTTTTCATTTAATATTTACGTGGTTCCTTAAAAAGGAATTGTTGAGCAATGATGTTTAAACTTTCCACCTTTATTTACATAAAATCGTAAAATCTCGTTTCGCGTTGTTAGTTTCGCACAAAGATATGAACATATTTCGATACAGTGCACTATTTGTTCTTTATTTGTATTTCAAAGATTGCTGCTCTTAAGTGTCAACTTTATTATTATTATTATTTTTGTTCATTATTTTTTATTATTTTAGATCCAAGGAACGCTATGCACCTTATTCTTCAATGTGGGAAAGGTAGGTGACGAATAATGATCATTTCAATTTTTGTCTATTACAATTAGTGTGATCTCACTTAGCTTATACGTGTGTTATGGTGGTTTTGTTGTTTACTGAGCTAGGACTTTTCGAGCATTGCGTCCAACTTCTGTTTAAACATCTTCAATGCCATTTCACGAGTCGGTGATTTTTGTCATATTTCCATGGTTACTGAAAAGAGCCTTTCCTCTTTTATTCTTGATCGGTTTATTATGATAGCTATGGTTTTTAACCGTTTACTCTTGGTTATTAGGTTGACCGATTATCAGCATTTTTATGAGCTGTTACGACGTCTTTCTATGACTAACATTCGTTTTCTCCTCACTGTAATCCTAACCCCGCTAACAGAGACCGTTGAGTTTAATTTGAGCATCAAACCTACAGTAAAGAAAGGTACTTAACTGGTACGCCTTTCTATGAAAGACAACCAAAAGGTATCTCAATTAACAACATAGAATGCCGGTTTCACGGCAAGAGTTACGGTTGGTATCGGGTGCATGTGTATATGCTGTGTCCCAGTAATTAGCTTAAATTGTTGTTTAAAAGATGCACTCATAGTCAAGCTCAATGTCAGCTTATATTTCTGGGGGTTTATGTCCCTTGAGCTAACTTCTTTTAGTTTGGATTTTGTATACTCCTGTGCTGTCGAGCAGAAACTGTCAGATATGCACATCATTATGTTTCTTCGTTGGGAGAATAAGTACAATGGACTTACTCAAATAATTAAGAGATCACATAACATTTAATCATTTTCCGTTTCTTATCTTTTTTCCAAAGGAGTAGAGAGAGATCCCATTCGAAAAAATTCGACTGTAGTCCTCGACGCTCAGTCAGCCCTGCTGAACAAAGTAAGCATCAATTTTTATCAAATTCATCATATAATTTTTTTTTAGAGTCGAGGTCCTCAAGACTTAAGAAACCTGAAATACAATCAAGTATAAATCCGATCACAGATTTCCAGACTGGAGGTGTAAGGACTACTACACGTCGTTCACATTCACCAATAACTTTGACAGAACGTTTTACTCGACTTACTAATTCAGGGACAGCTGTATACAATAAATGCAGGTATGGTCGTTTTGGAGATAACCATCGTCTTCCACACCTTATACTTACTAATAATACAAAACTGCCTCCAGCCACGCTAATGCGTCAGGCAAAGGAAATCTCAATTGTTATAGAACGCACTTTTCCAGTTGGTGAGTCTTATTTTAGCTGGGTTTTATGCTTAAATAGAAAAGCTGCTTAACTTACTTAGGTTTATAAGCTAATTATTGTATTTTCATTCCGGAGGGCTTTTGACAAACCCGTTGACTTTAAAATTCCAGATTTTCGAGTGTTCATGTAGGGGTATTTTATTGATAAGCAGACTTTGGTTTATATGTGACTTACAGCTTTAGATATCAATCTGTGAGTAAAGAGTTCTACTATTTGCTCACTTCATTGAACTCGAGAGGCTTTTTAAGGACTAAAACATTCAATAATAACTCCAGAATTATAACCTTGTATCAAAAGTAGTTATAAACCAAACCACTAGATTACTATAGACCTGTACTTCTGTATGACTACGTCATTTTGATCTACGTAATTTCTTAGTTTATTTTAAAATCACGCAATGCTAGGAAAATCCTCACTACTGATGACTCTGATAGAACATGTTGACCACTTCACCTATTTGGGAAGTTGTATCAGCACCAACGGATTGATTGGTGACGAAATCTCATCACGGATCCAGAAAGCTCGGGCTGCTTTCGCTAACTTACACCATCTCTGGCGTAGGCGTGACATCCGGCTGTCAACCAAGGGACGTGTATACTGCTCAGCAGTCCGCTCCGTCCTTCTCTATGGCGGTGAGACGTGGCCATTGAGACCGGAAGACATGAAGAGATTGTCTGTTTTTGATCATAGATGTTTACGATCTCTTTCTCACGTTAGGTGGCATAATGAGGTAAGTAATGTTGACGTTAGGCGTAGAGTGTTGGGCAACGAGGGAAAATCACTCGAAGAGGCTATTAAGTTACATAGATTGAGATGGTTAGGCCACGTGCTGCGCATGCCTGACCATCGTCTCCCCCGACGGGCATTACTAGCTGATATAGGTGCAGGCTGGAAAAGAGTAAGCGGTGGCCAAACAAAAATGTGGCATCAATCCATGAAATCCCTGACAGTTAAACTGGGTCAGGTAGGGAGATGCAGACTTCCGGGTTGGGGCCCACCTTCGGGACTCTAAGAATCAATGGCTGGAGACAATAGGTGACATGGCTCAAAATCGTTGTCAATGGCTTACGCAGATGTATTCAGTCTCTTTAACCTTCATATTCCTTTCTACCATTACTCATTCTGTTTCACACTTATACTTGTCAAAACTCTATTGGTTCTCTTCACTCATTTTCTTGTCTACCTTTGTGTGCTATTTGGAACGTGGCAACTCGAACTGCTGCACTTCGGTGCCAAGTTCTATGTTGAATCCAGCAGCAGCAGCAACTGATGACCATAGGTTAGATAGCATTGCCCACTAAAGTTTTTGAAATCTGTGGAAATTAGTTAACACTTGTAGCAGCCTAATCTTAATTGCCACGTAGGCAGGTGTCGCCTTCCTGTTTGGCGTCCCTGGGCTGTTAGGAATCAACGGCTGGAGGCAATCCGTGGTATGATTCAGAATCGTCCTCACTGGCAAAAATGCATTCACTCTTTGTGATTCCCCATATCCATTAAACCGCAGTGTCCTTCCATGTTACTATCCTTTTTCCCTCACATTTCTGCTTATTATAGTACTTTTGAATCCCTTCTCTCTCTTTTTTATGCCTCTGTCTGCTAAATCGACTGTGGCAACTTGAACTGCTGCACTTCTGTGCTATGTTGAAACCAAGTCAGTCAATCATCCCAAGTGTCAATCAAAACAGGAGCATATTGAGTTCACTGAAACAAGTTGCACGATACTGCTGTGCACAGCGGTGGATTTTTAGCTTTTGGTAGGTGTTTTAAGCCAATTCATGGAGAATAAAATACTATTTGAGTAGATTAATTGAAGTTATATCTTGTTTAACACTTAGGATTTAATGGTTTATACAAAACAGTTTCATCAGACTAGTTTAAGAAGGGGATATCTTCCTAGGATAACCACAAAGGGATCATCCACTTGACTGACAATATCTAAGATCCTAAGGTCACTAGGCATTTGAAAGTTAATGGGAACTCAAGAATGACAACTTCGAGATAACCAAGTAAGTTTAATGTCAGGGTGAATGTGCACTGGGTAGATCAGCACTTTTGTCACGTTGGTTTTTGATGCTCCCCAAATTATTTTGCTGATTTATTGTAACACAAATGTGGTTCAGTGCAAGCACCACAATGTGCCACACAGTTTAACTGAACGACCAATGTAAAGATAAAAGAAAAAAAAAATCAGTTGGGAAGTATCAAAATGAAATAGGTAAGGGTAGCTTTTCAAGTGTAGGGAGTCTCCATTACATGCCTTAATTTTGGTAATAAGAGAAAAAAGAAACTACACCCTATGCGCTGTTACTCTCACTTTTGAGCAATATCTGTTGATAATGCACCAACCCACTAAGTCTTGTGTTCTCTCAGAGCTCAGTCATGAAGTCCTAGTGCACTTGGCACAGCTATCATCCGTTTCGCGATACCACATCGTGGGCTGACTATTTACACTTTCTCTTAGCATTTCTAGAGGTAGCAAACAGTGAAGAGTATGGGAGCTTCTGGAATGACATTCGTGGCTTATGCTGCAAGTCGCCGGTGTCTGTGTCCCAGAACAATATCACCAGAGTAAAACGGTCTCCATTGTGTACAAGCACACGCCTTCGAAGTTGAGAATCTATTTCTTAGCATCATTATCGACTGCAAGTTAGCTGTTCGGACAAACCTGCTGCACATCTTCAGTTCGTAATGGCCAAGTTTCACAGACATAAAGCAAAAATATCTGCACCGAAGATTCGAAAGTACCACATTCGGCAACTAGATTAACATTCCGACGCTGCCATTAGTGATCCGGATTGGCGAATTTCTCTATAATAACTACTGACCCAATGCATTATTGATTTCTGTATGCCATTTAGTAGATTGTGTTTCCACGATACCCATCTATTCAAGGTTTTAGGTCGGTTTACTCGTTTTGGAAATTTTCTCAGCCTGCGAATCTGATTAAGTCATATTCTGCCACAAAATCGTATATACTTTCTTTGTATCTTTTCCGCTTTCAATTAATTGAAGTTCTTATTATGTAATTTTTACTCTCAATAGATGTGAATTTATCACATTTGGAAAAGTCCGAAACATTTGATGTTCGAATTAGTGAAGTGAAAATACCACGTCGTCCGAACGAAGGTCATAAAGCTGTTTTTGATCTTCCTGGAGTAAGTTATTTGTATAATATCGCTTTATGTGATGAGTAGAAATTAATCGTAATGAAACTTATTCGTTCGAAATCGGCTATTCAGAACATACAGTCATTGTCCGAGGGTTGATGATACTCCTGGGTCGCCCAGGGTTAAGTAAATGGAGCGGCACTCGAACCCGGAACCCATTCGTTGAAAGTCAAATGCTTAAATTAGCGAAGCAAATTTTCAAAAAAACTGTCGATGTACAAATGTCCATTCATCATACGAATCCATTCATATCCTTACGGATTGTGATTGTTTCACATTCGCTTCAATTTTTGTTGGTGATGTCCTCTCGAAATGCCTAATTCCTTCGACATATAACAGTGTAGAAGGTAGTAAATACTACCACTTGCTTCTTATCTTACGATCTATCTTAGAAATAAATTTAAGGGAAAGTTACAGATTTGGCAAATTTCCAGCCGACTGCAAAGTATTAAGTTGAACACTACTCTCTCAACCAATAGATTATGAAGACAAACTTATTTCTATCTACGTGGGTTACGATATCCGAATCGGCACACAACCTGAGCACGACAAACTTGACTGATTCTTCTGTATGCCAGCCAATATTGGTGTTTTAACTCGAGTTACTTCTGCTAGATCAAGAAGGAAAATAGAACTCATATTTATTAATTTAATCTTTTTATTTTACAATACTGAGATATCAAAATTAATAAGGAATCGTATTTATACATAACCAGTATCTGTATACCTTGTGAATATTGTCTGTATTGGGTCTGTCTCACTGAATTATTTCCAGTTAAGCTTTTAAATATCCTGATAACATCAAACAAATCAGTATTTAGTCAATGACGACCAGTATCTAAGATCCTCATTGTCTTGGTGTAACCTACAGGGACAAAATTTGGGTAATTTGAGCTGTTTCATTTCTCTGAGCTAAGTCAAACTGGTTACACCCTGAGTGTGTACTCGACCCCCATCGACTGGAATGGTTGTTCGGTGTTTAGATCGCTTCTAACTGTGTTAGCAAGCACTGCTATGTGACGTCAACGATCTGTAACTACCCATATAAGTTAGAAAGTAGTATATACTATGATTCCATTCCATTAAATCTTCCTTATGGCTTTTATCATCAATCTTCTGATACCGAAACTGCGATGACATAGTAACTCTGCATATTTCAGTGCACTGGAAAGACATCATTTGTTCTTCCAACTAGTTTTAATCAATTACAGGAAAACAAACTGAGTTCCAGAGTAATGTATCGGTATATTTTGGCTTTAAATATTTATTTGATGATAGTATCTTATGATGACCAAAAAAGATTGAGATCACCACTGATTTATACTTGCAATAACACACAATACATGATTTATTGATCACTGCTTCTTGCTGTCTTTGATGAACGAAACTGATTTTTTTTGCTGCATAGCAGCAGTAAGTGTAATTTTCAAGAGTATTTTTGTAGGGAATTGATTTGTTTGAAGTTTGATCACTGATTGACATCAGTTAGAGTCCAAAACTATGGTGAAGTGTAGAGCTGTCCATTACTCCCTGGTTTTCAATAGTTTTCTAAATGATTTCAAATCGTGGTCAATCTTAAAACAAATCAGTTCCCTACAAACAAGCTCCGGAAATTTAATCTGATGCTCACTAGTAGTAGTGTGACTGACTGCAGGACAAAGTTGTCTGGAGTCCCTAGTGAGAAGTCGTAACCAGTAAGGTCCACTCGGTCGGGGGGGGGGTGAGGACAAATACTCGCCGATGATATTGGCTGGTGGTCTCGCTAAAATCACAAATTGGTAGAATTTGGAACTCATAGGCTGGCTGGTTGAATGATCTACTCACTTCACTTGTAACTGTCTGTCTGTTTTCGACATAGAACTTTGCACCGATGTGCAGCAGTTCAAGTCGCCACACTCCATGTAGCACACAAAGCAAGAGAAGACAGTAGAAGAAATGCATAGTAGAGACAGTAAACAGAGCTGAGAGACAAAGGAATAGTAATAACGGAGAACAAAACAGTTTAATTGGAAATCATAAGTCACGAGTGGATGCACCTGCGCCATTGACAACGACGATTTCGAGCCATATCACCAATTGTTTCCAGCCATTGGTGTTTACCGTCCCCAGGACCCCAACCAGGAAGTCTACATCTTCCTACGTGGCTCAAACTAACTGTTGTGGATTTCATTGACTGATGAAACCATGTATTGGTTTGATCACCACTTGCTCTTTTCCAACCTATATGAGCTAACATTAGCCGTCGAGGAAGGCGATGACTAGGCATACGTAACACATGTCCTAACCATCTCAGTCGATGTAATTCCACAGTCTCGTCGATTGATTTCCCCTCCTTACCTAGCACTCGACCGATGCCTAACCTCAATATTGCTCACCTTATTGTACCACTTCACACGGGAGATAGAACGCAGACACCTATGATCAAAGACAGCTAATCTTTTCATGTCCTCCGCTCTTAATGGCCAGGTCTCACAGCCAAGAAGGAGGACGGAGCGGACCGATGAGCAGTACACATGCCCTTTGGTCGATAGTCAGATTTACTTGTAACTAGAATGTCCTGGGTTCGAAACCCGGTGATTATGTACTGCCGATGAGTTCCAAATTAAGTGTAATGTTGAGTTATTGTTCATCTTATTTATATACGATGAACATGCAATCGGTTGGGTTTTCGTAAAACACCGCAAAGTGTATATCATGTTTTCTTTTTAGTGCCATATAGCTGATATATGCACCGAGAGGAAGTTGATCATCTGTTCACTTAGGTGGTAACATGTGATTGAGGTGTTTTACCCTAGTAGACCAGAGTGATTGACTTTCACAAAGTCCAGCCTTTAATTGATTGATTATCACAATGGGTTTAATGCATTATAAATTTAATCAAGACATGTAGTAGAACCTAATTTGATGTACAACTGCTTCGGTTATTTATAACACTAACTATATGGTTAATGCAGGGTTTCTTAAACTGTCTATCACATGAAATTAATAATATTTTGTTCGATTCTTATTATTAATATTCTAAAAGAATAATGTAGTATGGAAAAATGTAGGTTAAACGAACAATCAGTGTAAATGCAGAGGTACTTTTCATTCTGGCGTCAGCATAATTGTATCATGCATGCATAAAACGATTAGATAGAATAATATTGTCCCTCAGGTGCTGTCGAAATTATTAGTAAATGATGGTGTTTCACATACTTCAGCGTCACTAGTTCATTAATCGGTTGTCTAGACTGTCATAAAATGCTACATGTCATCTATGTAATACTGTTTCCCGAAGCTACGGACTTCATTGTACATAGTAACTTTTAGAGAAATTCAGGAAGATATAAAAAGACTAGCTGTCCGTAACCGCAATTGTTTGTATTCTATCCTCCGGGTACAATTGCCATATTTCTTGACTTGAAGGCGGCCTTCGACTCCGTGGATCGAAAAGTACTATGGCAATGTTTGACTGTGAAGGGAGTGCCAAGAAAGTACATTGCACTAATCAAGGCACTCTACTCAAACTCACGTAGCTGTGTAAGGGCTTATGGGGAATTGTCATCTGAATTGATAACAACCAGTGGTGTCCGTCAAGGATGTCCACTTTCCCCTTTTCTGTTTAACTTCATCATAGATATGCTAATGGAAGTATCCTTAACTGAACTTAACGACTTAGGAATCGACTTGTTACCAGGGAATAGTCTTATAGACTTAGAATACGCAGACGACATAGTCCTGTTAGGGGAGGACGCTGACAAAATGCAGAGTCTTCTGAACACCTTGAGCAGCAATCTTCGTATGTTTGGCATGCGATTCGTCCCTGTAAAATGTAAGATGCTGCTACAGGACTGGACTGCGTCTACCCCTAGCTTAGTGATAGGGAGTGAAATGATAGAACATGTTGACCACTTCACCTATTTGGGAAGTTGTATCAGCACCAACGGATTGATTGGCGACAAAATCTCAGCACGGATCCAGAAAGCTCAGACTGCTTTCGCTAACTTACACCATCTCTGGCGTAGGCGTGACATCCGGCTGTGAAACATGGCCAATACGAGTTGAAGACATGAAAAGGTTGACTGTTTTTGATCATAGATGTCTACCATCTCTTTCTCGCGTTAGGTGGTATAATAAGGTAAGTAATGTTGACGTTAGGCGTAGGGTTAGGCAAAGAGGGAAAATCAATCGAAGAGGTCATAAAGTTACATAGATTGAGATGGCTAGGTCACGTGCTGCTCATGCCTGACCATCGCCTCCCCCAACGGGCATTACTAGCTGATATAGGTGCAGGTTGGAAAAGAGTAAGTGGTGGCCAAACGAAAACATGGCATCAATCCATGAAATCCTTGACAGTCAAACTGAGTCAGGTAGGGAGGGAGATGCAGACTTCCGGGTTGGGGCCCGCCCTCGGGACTCTAAGAATCAATGGCTGGAGACAAAAGGTGACATGGCTCAAAATCGTTGTCAATGGCGCAGATGTATTCAGTCTCTTTAACCTTCATATTCCTTTCTACCATTACTCATTCTGTTTCACTCTTATACTTGTCAAAACTCTATTGATTCTATTCACTGATCTTCTTGTCTACCTTTGTGTGCTATTTGGAACGTGGCAACTCTAACTGCTGCACTTCGGTTCCAAGTTCTATGTTGAATCCAGACAGAAAGACTGTATCCTCCGGGTTAAATGGTTTGATATGGTAAGTAATATTGAGCTTAGGCATAGGGCGTAAGTTGATCGATGAACTTCTGGGGGTGGATCGATTAAGATGGTTAGGACACGTGCTATGCATGCCGAGCCATCGCCTTCTTCGGCGATCACTGTTAGCCTACATAAGATTAGGCTGGACGACGGTTATGGGTGAGTAAACTGAAACATGGAATCAGTCCATGAAATCTTTGAGAGTTGGTGTGAACCATTTAGAGAGGTGTAAATTAACGTGGCTGGGATCCTCTGGATGTGTTAAGGAGCAATGACTGGGGATATGACTCAAGTGAAGAGATGAGAAATAATGCAATTATATAGACTAAGTCAGAAAGTTGTGTGAGTAACTTGATATGATTATGAGGAATAAATATTCGATAACTTTAAATACAGATAATGTCTGCTTAAGGAGGATGTCATCGACTCCAATAGACGAAAATACTCATTTTAACAAACATGGTTTAATAGGTATGAGATGAAATATATTTCAGACTAGCCTATTTCCATCAGTTGGGCTATTGGAATGTAGGACTTCAGCTGGATTTAAGAGAATACACTTCACTGAGAGGATATGTAGTCTAGAAACATCTCAATCATCTCAGTGTATGCAGTCGTTTACGATCATATAGTAGGGTATTATAGAGATGGACGCATTAAAAAAAGATGAAAAAAGAGAGGAAGGTTAATCGATGGGTCTTGGTTCATTGTATTAACACCCGATGTGTGTTATGGAGATTGTGCAACAATCATCCCGGAGATGCAGAAACATGCTCCATCCGTTGTGCGTTGTATTCGAAAAATGTATCTGATGAAAAGCAAAATTTGAGGAGAGAAAGAACGACACATTGGTGCAGAATAACATGGATCCATTTTGTTTCGTTGGTTCTCATCAGCTACACCATGACACTTATAATATGCTTGTTGATAGACAAAAGTATGTTAAATTTTACTCTGACTTTTATTTATTAAAGATTATAGGCTGTATGCAGCTGATGAGAACCAACGAAACAAAGTGGATCTATGTTATTCTACGCCCATGTTTGTTGTTTTTCTGTTCAAGTTTATAAAAAGGAATTCTTGTATGAAAAGTAAAATGTAATATCACTTAACGTCACATGTGAAGCATATTTCATACGACAGAAAACATAGAAAAGGATGAGGATGGCATTAGCAGTAATTGAAAAATTAACTAGAAAATAATGTACAATGATAAAACATTGACAATTTTGGGGAAAACAAGGTTTTAATCACTGTTGTCTGCTAGTATTTTCAATAACAGTTAAAAGACCAACTTTCTCCACTACTTATCGGGTGATCTGGAGATTCTTCGAACCCAGTAGCATCGCACTAGCTACATGTATATGAACTTCTGAGAAATAAAATTGAAGCATTTTCCCCCCAATATGCTTTTATAAACACCTTATGCATAGCTGTTCAAAATCATGTCACTAATGTGCATACAATAATTTTTTGTTCCTAAGAATTGTATGATTCTTCTTGTAGAATCGACTACCATTTCGTGTTGGTGTGTGTAAACTTATCTTTCTGACTTCATGTAGAACCGTTTTAAGATTGTTATTATTTAAATTCTTAGTTTTTTTTTCAAATTTCTATTTTAAAAAATCTAGATCAAATTTTATAACACCGTAGCTGATGAAGCTCTCATATACAAACGTTTAGCAGATACAATTTCATCTGCAAGTTCACGGTATGTTATCTTGTGTTAACGAATTCATTGTGATATATCTTTTATGTTTATGGTTATTCCCATGGGTGTGTTTGTGTGTGTGGGGGGGACTATCTGACCTTTCCAGTTAAACGGTTAACTTTCAACTGATCACACATAGAATTTGAACCGGAAATCTAATTAACCCCTTGGAATTTTAACCCTCTCCCACCCTATCGGGTGGTCGTGTGTTAATGCAGACAGTGCAATCACTGGATTTAAAAAAATTCCTCTTTGCGGGGCAATCATTCTAACCTTAGCTAAATTCTTATGTTCTGACAATCTGGTTACTCCTGATCTACTAGTTTGATCTGTGTAGTTGACTTAACTCAGTCATTGCAAGGTATTTTATAAATTATATTATTTTGTCTAATTGGGTCAACTGGGTTGTTTAACCTTCAGAGCTTGTCCCTGAGTGAGTTCGTAGGTTCAAATGCCACTCTAATTCCTTTTTTATTGAGAATTCTACGCAGGGTATCAGATGTCCCCTCCTTATATGGTAGAACTGTAGATGGCTTATATTCTCTCCTTTTTATGTTATCATTATTAGTTTCTCCATTATTTTCATTTTGATTTTGATCTTCCTAATGGATTTTATGGGATAGGTATTTAACATCAACGCTTGCTCTTCTATCTGTTTCATTTCATCATTTAAGTATTTTGCTGTTCTACTTGGTGTTGTTGCTGCTCGGTTTGTTAGACACTTAACTAAGCCTACCTTCAGAGACAGATAACGGATGAGATGAATTAAAGTTTTTTATAAACGCTAGTGTGCAGTTTACCTTCTGTTCGTTTTATTTTACAATCTAACGTAGCCAGTTCTCCTTGTTTATTTTCCGATTCAAATGTGAATTTTATTCCCTTTACTAGTGAGTTTCTATGTGTGAAGAAGCTAGAGATATATTCTGTTTTTAACACTGTGTGTGAAAGTGTCATACACATATCTCCACCATACTTTGGGAGCAGGTTTAAATCTATTAAGAGCAATATTTCCCTAGCTGTCCAAAATAAATCTGCTACGATAAAGGATATTGGTGATCCCATTGCTTACACCTGTTTGCCTGTATATTTTACCTTGGAATTCAGAGGCAGTAGATGTGAGGCGCATAACTGAATTCCTAAAATACCTTGATATGATTATGAGTAATAAATTGTGCTCGAAACGTCATCAGTAAACATTACTGTATAACACTGTGAAACTATCAAAATTTTTGTCCATAATGGAGTTTTGATCGTATTTCTCGAAAATCCGATTTTAAACTTTTATTTTATGATCGATATACTTCGCGAATTGGTCTTTTTTATTGTTATTTGAGTAAGTTCAAAATTTCCACACTGTTGTTTGTTTTTACTTTGTGTGATAGCAAGAAGAAGTAAGTAGCACACGTTTTACATTGATTACCCCTTCATTTTACCAAGGGAATTGTCTTCTGTTATTTGGTGGATGGTGACTAGCACATTTAGTCCTATTTGGGACTGGTTAAATGGATGTATATCTGCAATCTATATTGAGTGATGGTTTTCCCACCGTGACTAGAACCCAGCACGCGTCGTTTAAGACACCGAAAGCATTATCCATTTGACCACTGTGGCCATGAAAGCCATCTCTTTTGTAACGGGTATCAGTTATTCTTGCGATGGCATCCTAACTGGGTCGTGGGTTCGTTCAACTTGACTAGAATGCGCCTCCAGAACACGATGCTATGACCAACTGATCACTTTAAAATATCTCTCACACCGAGATACACAAAAACGTCAGGCTTTAAAAAACGACAACCTTTATGAGACAAAATATATGGTGTACTATATTTATAAAACCATAGACGAAACAAATGTGATTGGTTGTATGACTTCGACATCCCTCAGAAAATAAAGCCATTAATCAACGAATTAAAACTATCTGATAAGGTCATCATGCCAGTACATGCGTAAATCATGACTCTACAGCGAACAAAGAACATTGTCCGTCCTAACAGTTATTATGAAATATGCACCCTTGATTCCGTAGGTAGTCACCATCCACCAAATAATTTTCAGTCGTCGTCGAAGAGTCTGTACCAGAAGGCGACATTTCAACAGAGATATGTGATATGATGTACGTGTGTGTATATTGATAAATCCTAGAAGTAGGATAGCCGAATTATTTCTCACCTTGCTTTTTGGCAGTGCATATAAACCATTACGTGAGATCATTATTCATGTAGTGTCTTTAAACCTTTTTAGGTATATTTTTATTTTTAAAAGCTCGAGATAGATCCTATTATATGTTGAAAGATTATGAAAAGCAATATTTGATTCTCCCCCCCCCCCACTGACTTCTCAGTTTTCTTGAGTACATGTGGACATTTCTTTCTCTCTCCCTTTTTTTCTAATGAGGTCAGAAAACCCAATCATTCGGAAACCAAACGAGAAAGTGAGTATCATGACATAAGTCATTTTACAGGTCCTGGTCGATTTTATGGCAGTCGTGTTGATGAACGCTTAATGGATTCAAAGCGTAGTAAGTAGTATAATTCATTCTTGCCACGAATTATTTCTTTAATGTTATTAAGTTGAATTTAGATTCCCATAGCTCTATAGCTATCATACAACTTTTGATCCTGCGGTTATCACTGTGTGAAGTCAGCTGTTGTACAGCATAGCTGTACTAATTTTCGTTACAGATTTTTTTATCGACACCTATTTTTGGGAAATAAGTCATATTGTTCACGTGTATGAATGGGCTTAATTTCCACTCCACTAACCCCAGTCTGGGACAGTCAGGTGGTATCGCCAAGTCCCACTCAATAAAGTTTAATTCTTAATCTGATACATGAATGATCTGTTTCGGGTAATAGAGTTCAAACGAACATATGAATATAAATAAGCAGGTAGTAAGGTATTTAAAAAAAAAGTAAATTCCATTCTACAGCAAGAAAGCATGAATCTGTGTATGGAGTTTTTATGAGACTATTAAAATTAATCTTTTACAGATAACTGTTATGCAGTAGTCCATTTAGTCTAATTGTATCTGATGCCAGATTAAATTTACCAGCTGTGAGGGTTTATTGTATGCATCAAAAGGATTGGCTTCGTGTGCTTTTGGAAGTGTTTGGGCGGTTGATACTTCCCGGCTGCCAACACCGTGGAAGTTGGTTGGTTCTTCGGTTACCTGAAACAGAAAGAGGGTTAATGTTGCGTGGCGGCAGAGCCCAGGGGACAACTGTTTGAGGCCGGTCACACACGGCCTATATGAAGTGGTTTCTTGGATTGGTTCCGTATCAGTAAACTTACTGCCGGTTACGGACCACCCTGGGGTAAGTCGGGATGTACAATTGTTGGGGTCGACCTTTTCTAACCCTCTCTCTCTCCAACCGGCATGCTGGTCATCTGAGGGAAACACCACACTGCTGTTACATCCCTGTTCCCCAGCAGTACGACTTCACCCCCCCAGCATACTGTACAAAAAATTCTTACACTAAGCCGGTAACTGCTTTGAGTCTAATCGCTATCCTAACAACTTTCCTGGCATGGTAGGACCTGTAGGAACAATAATTCCAGCCAGTGTAGCTTGTTGGGTCATTGCGATATGCAAGCCCGACCACCACGTCAAGGTAGCAGCTATCGGTCGGGCAAAAGGATTGGATTTCCAAGGCGGGACTTTGTACAGCAGTTTAGTTGGTCACATTCCATTTAGCACACATAAGTGGGGAGAAAATCCAAAGGAGAAAGAATAATTTGAGGATTTTATGATACTGAGAGTTTAAAGAGAGTAAATACATCTGCGCTATTCATAACGATTTGAGCCACTTTCTAACCATTGGATCTTAGCATCTCAATGAGCAGGCAGTCTTTACCTCTTCATGTGGTTCAAACAAACAATCAAAGACCCTACGAATCGATGTCATTCTTTGACATGACTTCCCCTAAATATTTGGCAACCCTAATCAAGAGGACTAGTGTATTTATTGAAGGATGTTTCGAAAAATTCTGTTATAATGATTTACGAAGATCAGAGTTCGAAGTCAACCTGATTGTTGAGTAACAACTTCACAGTCTTCAGAAGCAATAAGTTGATAGGGTCGGTCGGTCGGTTTTCGACATAGAACTTTGCACATATGTGCGGCAGTTCAAGTCCCCACACTCCATGTAGCACACAAAGCAAGAGAAAGTAGGAGAAATGCATATTAGAGACATTAAACAGAGGTGTGAGACAAAGGAATAGTAATAACGGAGAACAAAACAGTTTAATTGGAAATCATAAGTCACAAGGAGTGGATGCATCTGCGCCACTGAGAACGATTTTGAGCCACGGGTTGATAGGGTGGTAATACACTTGACTTCGCAGGACTAGGCGAATGGATATACGCACATAGAAGTGGTCAGATGCGAGATCTTGTCTTACAGACTCCTACAGTCCATTGGACGATTGAAGAACACTAGCATTGTGTATTTTTTTTCCTGAATGATATAAGCATGCTGTTTTTATGTTGAACATGGTTAAGTATTGCTACTCTGTTTAATTAAAGCTTATCCCTTGGATCCTTCAGAAACTCCGAGAGGTCAATCCTATTATCTCGTAAGTTCTTATTGTTTTAATCACTTTTTGAAACTATACGGAAACATTCAGAATTAGATTTTGTTTTATGGCTATTATCCCTTTGTAAGTTTAACTAAACTTCTCAGCCTGTAGGAAAACCTATATTTTTTAGAATTAGCAAATATTGTATTCAAAATGCCCAGAACTTTTTCTAAGTACTTTAAAGTGTTATTAATGTAATTTAATATTCCTGTTATAGTCGTATAACTTTAAGCCACATATTATAGTCCATCTATTCGGTATGTATTTTGGTGTGGTGCATATGAATGAATAACAGGCGTAGAATGCTGGACATAGGTGTTTGTTACCTCAACAGAGATCACAAAAATCAGCCTTATAAACTCATGGAATTATTATTAGACGAGTGAAGTCTTTACTTATCTGTAGCATTTTTACTCAAGCGAATATTGGAGATGTGCTGCCTCCATTAATTTACTTTTTTTGCACAAAGTATTATAGGATTTCATCCAGTGAAAATCTAGCTGCAGTGTTCGTTGTAATATAAAATATTTCTTCTCAATAAATTGAACTTTACTTTTTTCTTTCGCCATGTGTGAAGCATGACGATAGAGCAGACGATGGATATGGAACGAGACGCCGATTGAACAATTCTCGATCCGATCGTTTATATTCTTCCAGTAAGTATACATCTATTCATTTAGTAGTAATATTTGCTGAAACTATGGCTTTCATCCTAGATAAACTATGTGTTTTTGAGTTGTTGACACTAATTGGTGTAGATCTTTGTGTAAGAGTACATTATTAGTTCGAAATACTATTCTTCTAAACGTCTTACTTGGGTGTAGTGATGAAAATAATGAGTGCAAACATTCACAATTTCGTTAATGGTAAAAAAATCAATACATCCACATGGTAGTGAACGCCTACTAGTCTCTGAATATTGACTTCAACCATCTGGGGATTCTCCATCGTAGCCAGTTCCCTCTTTTTACATCACTCAGACAGACTTCACGAATTGAAATCATGTTTCGGACTAAGACATCTTATAATACCTAGTCCCATTGCAGCAAATATTGTTTCTCGAGGAATGCAACCGTTCGATATGTCTAACACATGTACTAGGCAGGTCAGTAGAGGGAGTTTCACAACTTCATCGATCGACTTCTTATCCTTTCCTAAGCCTTTACGCGGAGTCTCTACGTTATCGTGTTGATCCGTGTACTATTAGATTAGGATAAAAAGATATACAGTTAGAAACCTGTAATCTGTCTATAATTACTAGTTTCACTGGTCTTGTCCCACAATCACCAAATATGCGTAACACAATCGGAAGGATTTATAGCGAGCCTTTTCTACTCATGATGAGATGTCATCAGAAACATTTACATTAAACCCGACATAACATCGTCAATTACTACATTTGTGATACATCATACAGCCATCCTTCTTATCTCTCCGTTAAGCCAAGTTAGGGCGATATGTGTGCGTGCCAAACAAATTTAGATTTCCACCCAGAATGTAGGATAAGGTGCGGAAGTCATTTCGTGAGATTGTGGAGCTGACTTAGCTATGACATGTACTACGCATGCCCAACATCTTTGCCGGCGATGCCTTTGAATGCCGATATATGGTGGGTATTTTATATGTGGTTACGATTTCTGAAAACTGCCTGCTTCCACTAAGTATGCTTATTAGAATATCATTGTTATCGTAAACTTTGAGATATGGCTGGTATGCAACAAATTGTAGTTGGTAAAAGATTCACTGGCTATGTATTGTTCAGTGGTATTTTATACATGTTTAACTGGTTCTAGTTAAATCTGCTGAAGCACATGGAACATTTGTTATAATACTTTGTGTTGACGCAGTAGGAATAAATAATTCCAGTCACATATTCTGCTGGCAAAAGTACATTTGAAGCAGGAATCACTATGTTATTGTTGTTGTATTCCCCATGTATGTGATTTCTTCGTTATTTTTTTAGAGTAAAATTTATACCAAGTTCTATTGCTACTAGTCTCATAAAGATATCACCTTTTTAATAATTTCGGCTGTAGGCTATCAACGAGATCGTCGATCCCGTCGCCTTTCACCCTCACCATCCCGATCACGCCCGTCGCGTTCCGATTTAACATCGAGAAAGTGGCTCCATGATAAGTTCGAAGAGATAGAAAAAGACAATTCATCGCAAAAACCAGTCCCAATGCCTGTCCCTGCTCCAAAACCAATCCTGTGGTCTACTATTGGAAAAGAAATCAACGGCAAGAAAACTGTCTTAAGTGACGATCAAAACTATAGTCCAAACAGTGCCGCTAATCAATCTCCAATAACTGATAGCAATGACAATCGAATCGGTTCGCCTAAGACGAAGGCACAAACAGACGCGAGTAATACACAAGTGAACAGTAGTAATACCAAGGTATCCAATAAAGATGATCAATACAATAGTGAGGTTATTCATTTGGATGTGGATCAAGTGTTTGATGAAAGCATGGAACAATAATCTTATTTGTTTTATTTGTACAGGAAGCATCGCAAATTAAGCATTTCGTTTTGTTGTAATCATTTATTGTGTCGCATTTGAGAATGCGTTACTTGTACATCCAACTTGTTTATATATGAGCGACTTAAAACCTTGATTTTAAAGAAGGCAAACCGTTGGATTTTTATTTGACTTCATATTGGAATGAGATGATCGTTACCGAAACTAAACCATTTATCGCATTGTGGTTAGCGGGCATAACATCATAGTGGGTGGTTATTTTGCGCATACGTTTGAACGAATGCTGACATCAAGTAAATCAAGGTTGGTTTGCCTACTTCAGTCAAGTTAGTACCATCAAACTTGGGGGGAGGGGGAAGGTAACTCAGCGTTAATGAGATGGTTGAAGTAGACTGCATAGAATATGCTAGATCTTATTTTCTGAAGAAAAACAAACTCAAAATATAACGATGAAAAAAACAACAACACAGAATAAAAAGTGAAAGCAAGTAATTTGTTTCATAATTTCACTCATGATTGTACAAATTTTGTGCATCGTACTTTATCAAGATAAACTGCTGAAAAAGTGGAATTGTGAATGAACATTGAATCAAGTTTATTTACACAAGTGTTTTTAGGGCACACAAATCTGCCGTGTTCACCGGTCATTTGAAAATGGCGAAATAGAGACATTCATTCGCTTGATTGTCAGGAAGCTTGAATGCTGAAAAATAGATGTTTTTAAAAAGTAACTATTATTGTAAAGCTGAGTAAGTGTCAATCGAGTTAAGGACTAATGCAAAAGAAACTACTATTCCACAAAAAAATATTTTATATCTTGCATTACAGGTTTTTACATTCGTGAACAATAAGGCGAAAATCTATTGTCTATGAAATGTAATACTACAAGAGTTTGATATGATCCAATGGAAATTAAACTATTGTAGATCTTGAAAAGATAAGTAAGTACCACAAGGATATGTATATGGACAAGTGATTCACCATATTCAACCCCGCACCTCCCACAGGATTCTTATTTACTTTAGAATGCTGTAGCCAACATCCTGTTAGAAGAATGACTTCCGTCGCATTAAGCAAATGTCAGTTTGATGAATGACTAATTTTCTTCTAAATGTAAGAAAACGGGATGCCTACAAAGTATACAGATCTCTTTACGACTGTTTCATAAAAACCAGGAAAAAAACCTTTTCATAACATCACTCATTACGTAGTGCATAAAATGAAAACTTAATGCAAACTTTGAACAAAATCAACGTTCGACCTCCTAGTAACTATTTAAGTTAATTTCAATTTGAAATACTTTCAAAGAAGAGGGCAGAGATGCAAAGAGCTAATATACTCACTGCATATATATGTGTGTGTGTCAATTATAACTTGGTAAGAAAACTAGTAGTACTAGAATAAAGAAGATACTTTTTTTTCCTTCATGGGACATAGGGTTTCAAGCTTGTGGTTTGAAGTTTTTGTAACAGTGTTTACTTTACAGAATGGGGTTGCTAGCCTCATGCCCAACCTTTCCTCTTCACCAGCATTATTTCTGGCTTAGCGAGGTAAAGGAGTGCGTCGGCCGGGGATCGAACCTCGGGCCATGTGCATGGTCGGCGAGCGTCCTAACCGCCATGCCACCGACGAAGATACAAGAAGGCTTTTTTAAAAATCAAATATCGGAAACTCTCGAGTTAAATTAAGCTTGGTAGGTTGAGAGTTGTACTTATTCGTTCATACTTGTAGTATGCAGTTGATTTTGCTAGGTGTAACATTCTCTCCACCATCCTACTGTATTCTCAAACAATCACTTTAACATTTATCATAATAGTGCTCATGAATAACTGGGAACGATAAAGTTTCTTAGCTCAACAGCAGTTAAACAGGAAAGAATAAGAAGCTCAGAAAAGATACTTATTCAGTGTGATTTCATTCTCAAACCGAACAATCGCATTTTTATACATACGTTCACATAGTTACAATTATTATTTAATTCAACATTGTAATGAATGGTGGTAATAATTATCACCTTGGTATGAAAGATTAAAAGTTTGAATATTGATCACAGGGGTCATAGAAACAAAATTATATTGGATTAGAAAACAGTTGCATAATATGTGAAATAGTTTTTAACAAAGACAGGTGTGAACAAGATGAGTATGGAAGATAAAAAAAAAAGAAACCTGATAGGTTAGAAGCCAGACAGAACTAGATTCAAAGTGAATATAGAGGTTATACTAGTTTCTTCTGAACACATATTTCCGGATGGTCGATACATATGGCGAGGGCTTCTGCAGTACAAAGAAGTGTGAAACAAACCACCTTTGGTAGATTTCTGTTCATTTTTTAAACGACTTTGGATGATGAACCAGTTGAGATACTGTGACAAGATGTGCAGTTATCGCACTTCTGACTGAAAAACTTCAGCCATGCTGGGTAGTGTTCCCTAGCATGTTTTCAAAGAAAGCCCCATGTACCTAGATCTACAGGATCGGGGGAATAGGTATACGCACATTCGATTGATCATATGTGGGAGTTCGTCCCTCGAATTGCTTTAGACTAACTGCTATCAACATAGAACTTTGCACAGATGTGTAGCAGTTCTACTCGCCACACTTCATGTAGCACACAAAGCAAGAAAAGAGAGTAAAGGGAGATTCAAGAGATAGATAATAAATAGAAGTATGAGGGAAAAAAGAATAGTAGTATGAAAGAAAAGTAACATCATCTTACATTTAATGGGAGCGAGTCGTATGCCAAACATCCGAAGATTGCTGCTTCTCAAGGTGTTCAGAAGACTGCGTTTTGTAGGCGTCTTCAAAGATAAGGACTATATCATCTATTTATTCTAAGTCAACGAGACTATTCCCTAAGTCGCCGAAGTCAGTAACGGCTAAGTTCATCAATGATGAAATTAAACAGAAGTGGGGACAGTGGACATCCCTGAAGGACGCCACTGTTTGTCACCACTTCAGATGACAACTCTCCGTAGGTTCTCACCTGTCTGACTGCATGAGTTTGAGTAAAGTGCCTTGGTCAGTACGATGTATTTTCCTGGCACTCCCTTCACAGCCAAACCGCCATAGTACTACCTCCAGGTCGATGGAATCGAATTCCGCTTTCAGGTCAAGAAATATTACGATTATTGGACGCCGATAAGTATGCCTATGTCCTAGAATCTGTCGAAGGGTAAAGATAGGATCAATATGCTCTCTCTATGTGGTCTAAAACCTAGTTGTTTCTTTAGAAGCAGTGGTCGACTAGAGAATATCGCCTGAAGTGTTGCTGCAGTAAAGGTTCTGTTTAGGGAAATAGAGATTATCCTCTTTAAGATATTTGCCACTAAGTCTCTTTGGCACCGGACTGCAACCTCTACATTTACCACGAATCCAGTTATGTTTGACTTCTAAGCTGTCAATTTTTTCATTTCGTTCACTCTTTCATCTTTATTTATAAAACCCATTATTTCAGTCTGTTTCTATGTCCATCGTAGTCACACGTGTTTTCGTTAAGAACTATTTTACATATTACCCAATCCTATGTAATTTTCCTTCTAAGCCCCTTGTAGTCTATATTCACACCAAACTTTCATATCACCTTTAATCTCCTTCGTCATGATGTCAAATAGAATAATAATTGCGACTACGTAAACTTTTGTATAAAAATGTGATTGCACAGCTTCTAAAGATAAAATCGCCAAAAAGATATATTTGGTGAGTTGCTTGTTCTTCTACCTATAATGTCTTGATGGGTGTTTCCCACGATTTGATAACCTTAAATAAAACAAAACGTATCTGTAAAATTACACGTACCTGTGCGAATTCGTATAAAGCGGGAGGTATAATTCAGGGGTATCCTTTTCATCTGTATGCTGATTATTATTATCAGGCATAGATTGTTTCCCTGTGTAAGGGAATTTAATAAAGTGTTGTGAAAAAGCCTGTATGCATAGGCTTCGTCGATCACGATATTCATTTAACAACTGAGTTGAATTGCCAACATCCGAATACATCACGAGATTTTCCGTTTGATTTACTTGAAATAATTTAACTGGAGGCAGGGTAGTTACATGGCTTATAAGGCAATTGAATAAAATATCTTCACAGTCTTGGAATACATCAACAATTTCATGTAATTTACGATCCAACAGAGTTCGGTATAAATGGTGGTAATAACTACAATAAAGAAGGAATATATATACAGTTTACTCTATATAGTTAGACAGGTATTAACGGCATTTTGAAAGATGACCTTATATGCGCATTAACTATATTATCCTCATGAACTATGACTAAGATACAATATGTATACTCACCCTAAGTTCTGAAATACAAAAGTAGTACAAATGTTAACTACAGACTGACGCTTGATAATTAAATTGATGCTCACTGGTGACTGGGTCAATACAGGGAGTTACCTGGAGTTCTAGTGAGAAGTCGTAAGTAACCAGTGGTGTTCATCAAGTCAGGTAAGAGATGAATTATTCGGCTATGAGACTGGATGGCGGTTGCGCCATATATACAGCTCGCAAATTGTCGGAAGTTGTATTTCATAAGCCATTGGATCAGGTCCCAAGTGATTGGATGGTCTGTAACCGAAAGGTCCTGTGTTCGAACCCCGCCGATGAGGAGTCTGAAGCTAGGACAAAACAGCTATCTAATACTCCCAGGTCTTCCAGTGTTCTCTAAATGATGTCAACTTGTGATCGAAACCTGTTACTAATGAAACCAATACTAGATAACGGAAAAGTCAGTATGCAGATGACGAAATTTGTGACACCGCGTTTCTATTCAGCATGACGCCATCACGTTATGTAACGCTAAATGTTATATCAATGAGATCAGAAAGGAGACATTGTGAGTCATTGTTTGCGTGGTCTGGTTGCCAGACATCTGATCCTAACATAGATTAAAGGTCACGTTGTTTATTGGTGCATGCTATCAAGTCATAAAACAGCTATTTATGTCTTAAACTAGTAATTGATCGGTGACAAAAAATTATGATGCAATTAGTTGTAGTCTCTAGTGATATTCATATGAACTGTGATCAAGACTTGACCGAACAGTCCTAAAATACAGATACTACTCAACAAACTCCTTTGCCACCAAAGTAACTGTGGTCAAGAATCTGATTGACAAAGCCAAACATCTAGTTACTGAGGAAGAAGAGATCAGCAGGGAACTAAAATTGGTTCAATCCACTCTTGAATCAAATAATCATCGTGTGTAAACCATTGAAATATAATTATACCTTATTTTATCCTAAAGCCTTCATAAAAACATATTTAAAA